AAGCGCCTATTGTATACAAGGTGCTATGGTCAACATGGGGCTACCAAGGTAGAAAGATACAACACTGACCCTGCCCACAAGGATTTTATGATCTGATGGTGAGAAGGCTAAATACCCACATAACTAGGATACAAGGGAGAGGGTGATGAAGTATAATGGAGAGATTCAAATAGTATAGTATGTTTAGCCAGAGGACCTGAATTCAAATCCCACCTGAGTTGCCAGCTACCTTTGTGACCTCATTGAGTCACTTAAGCTTCAATTTCCTCTTTTGTAGAATGAGGGAGTTGGATTTCATGCCTCTGAGGGCCCTTCCAGCTCTACATCTACAGTCCTAAGTCACTTCTTGAGCCTCAGTTTCCCCCTCTGTAAAATGAGAGGATTGGACTTGATGATCTCTGAGGTCCTTCTGTCTCTGTATCTATGGTGACAGGTACTATCACCCCATGAGCTTAATTGTGTAATAGGGAATTTGAAGAGGGAGAAACTACTCTTCCCGTGGTAGAGAAGGAGACTGGTCAGGGAAGGCTTCACGGAGGAGTGCAGAGTACTTGATTTGAACCTTGAGGTTCAAACCTTGTGGTCATGGGCTAGCCCATGGGCTAGCCTTAATCTGATTGGCTCCTGAGGGCAGGGGCAAGTAGGAGCAATGGGTAGAAGCTGGAGATGGAGAGAGAGAGAGAGAGAGCGACAGACAGAGAGACAGAGCGACAGAGAGACAGAGCGACAGACAGAGACAGAGAGGGAAGAGAGAGAGAAGAGGAGAGGAGAAGAAAGAGAGAAAGAAAGAAGGGGGGAGAGAGAGACAGACAGACAAAGGAGAGAAAGAGAGGAGGGAGAGAGGAGAGATGGGAAGTGAGAAAGAAAAGGGACAGGAAGAGAGAGAGAAGAGAAAGAGAGGAGAGCAAGGAGAGAAGAGAGAGGATTGAGAGAGGGAGAGAGACAGAGTGCCTTAGCCTCAGTGTCAGGAGAAGCTTTCTAACAATTCAAGCTGTCCCAAGGTGGGATGGGAGGCTTCCATGGGGGTCGCTATCATAGAGGGGATTGGTAGATCAGGAATGGCTCACACTGGTTGGTCTCTGAGGTTTCTTCAATGGCTAAAAGTTCAGTTCAGCTGGAACAATGCCCATGAGAGGGAGAGATGTGAATGAACTGAGAAAAGGAAGGATGAGACACATCATAGAAGGCTTTGAATGCCAGGATCAGGCTTGCTCTGGGAACCTCTGGAAGTCACTGAATAGACAATTGTAGGCTCTCAAATTTAGAGATGGAAGAGACCTGGGGAATCCTCATTTTGCAGATGAGGAACCAACCTGAGGTCAAGGGAAGCACAGGGACATGACTGGACTCACACAGTTTGCCACTCAGAGGGCAGATTCAGGATTTGGCCACAGGTTCACAACTCTAAATTCCACCTTTGTTCCCCTGTCCCAGAATGCCTCCCCATTAGCTACCATTTCACATAGTGCTTCTGGGTTTGCAGAGGATTGGGGAGGTTATCTGAGCAGTGTGGTGAGGGATGATTACAGAGGGGGTAGACGGGAGGCAGGAAAGCCAGTTAAAAAGCTAGGGCAGTAACCTAGGTGACTTCCACTCCAGATGTGTGACTATGAAAAATCCACACAACCTCTCTGAATTTCTTTATTCACTATAAAATGAGGAGATCAAAGGTAGCAAACACCCGGCACTTCTGACTGGGGCCAAATTAGATTAAAATGTAATTGGGAAATATTCAACAAAACAAAACAAAAGTGCAACAGAAGGTAGATAATGTTAATATGTGGTTTCCTGGGCCAACATGCACCATCAGGGATTTTATGCATCATTTAGTGGCCCCCATTTCTATTTGCATTTGATACCACTGCTCTAGAGGCCACAAGGTCCCCCAAGCTCTGACATTCTATGATTCTAAGCCAGGGCTGATGGGGAGACCAGAAGAAAAGCACCTTGGGTCTTTTCACAAAGGTCCCCCTCCCCTTTAATTCCCCTTCTCCTACTCCTCCCTCAATGGACTGTTCTACCTCTTCCAGCTCTTTTGGAGGGCATTGCCCTGCCCTGTCCCTCCACCCAGTTTCATTGAGGACTGACCCAAATTCTCACCCAACCAAATGTTCCTCTCTGCTCTGCCCTTTTCTCTTTCCTGGTCCAGAATCTCAGCTTTTGGTGGGCATCATACGTAGGGACCAGCTGCTGCCATTTCTCCAGGCAGAACCAACCATCCAGGCATCCAGGCACCAGGTGGGTGAAGATGATGGAGGCAATGCCCAAGCCTAGCCACCCACCCAAGATAAGGGTGGTGGGAGGAGATATCCAAACCTCTCTTCTAAAGGAGGAAGCATAATGTGGAGAGAGAGGAGAAGGCTGAGGCCATGGGAGGACTTGAGGGACTGGGCTGGCAGACACTGGGGTGGGAGGTGGGAAGAGGGACTCAAAGCCAAAAGGAGTAACAGGGAACCCCTCCTCCAACTGGCAACCTGTCCAAAAGTTGCACTATGGGTAGGCAGTGTGGCTTAATACATAGAGCTCTCAATGGAGTCAGGAAGACTTGGATTGGGGTCCCATCTCTGACACATAAGGACTATGTGACTCTGGGCAAGTCACTCAATCTCTTCATCGCCCAGATGACTCTCTAAGTTGCAGAGACTGTATAAACTCTGCCTTGATCGAGATCATTCTCCACCAGGAGCTCCATATATGATAAAATCGCGGGTTTGGAAAGAAAGAAAGAAAGAAGGGAGAAAGGGAGGGAAAGAAGGAAGGAAGGAAAGAAAGAAGAGAGAAAGGAAGGAAGAGAAAGAAAAAGAGGAAAGAGGGAGGGAAGAAGAAAAGGAGGAAGGAAAGAAGGAAAGGAAGGAAAAGAAGGAGAGAGGAATAATGAAGAAAGAAAAAATAAGGAAAAGAAAGAAAGAAAAAGGAAGAGAGGGAGGGAGGAAGGAAAGACAGAGGGAGGAATCTCTCCCATGTCTTTTCTATGTAGTCCAGTCTTGTGGGGGGTGGGGTGGGGGTGGGGCAGGTAGGACATTTTGGCCATCACTCCCTCACTCTTCACTTTCTCACCCATCCAGTGGCATCTCCATGAGGTCCTGGCGGGGGGCTGCCCCGTGGAACCTGTGACCCTACAGCTGTCACCCCAGACTTCCCTACACCAGGTAACTAAGGAGGCATGCGCTAGGGGGCGGCAGAGAACAGTGAGCTACGAGAAAGATGTTTCAAAGAGTGTGGATCAGGGCTAAGGGAAAGCAGGAGACTTCCGCGGGCTGGAGACTTGCAGCCAGAGAACCTGGATTCAGGTCCAGCCCTGGCTCGGTCATTTACTGACTATGTGATTTTGTGCAAGTATTCCCTTCTCTGGGCCTCAGTTTCCCCATCTGTAAAATGCCAGGGTTGAATGGGATGGATCTCTAGGTTCAATTTCAACACACATTCATTAGTAAGCACCTCCTATGTGCCGGCCATTGTGCATTGGTGATACAAAGAGAAAAAATAAATGAAACTATTCCTGCCCTGAAGGAGCTTCCATTCTATTGGATTTTTGAGCTCTGATGTCCTGTGAATCTGTTGCACCAGAGAGGGATTCATTTGGGTGCATTGTAGATGCATTTTTTTCTCTCTTTTTGAAAAAAAAAATTTTAAGCACGGAGATTAAATTTTTTTTTCAATTCCAAGTTCTCTCCCCCCACCTAATGAGAAGGCAAGAAAAATAAAACCTATTACAAATTTGAAGAAAAAAAGAAATACACATGATCATTTTGTTGTATTTTTGAGAAGAATAGCAAGTTGTTCATAGTAGATTTGCAATTTTATGTGCAATCATTTTTTGTACTGTTATGGAAATGCTTGTTTTATTCCATAAATTAAAAATACATTTTAATAATGATTAAAAAACAAAAAAGTCATTAAAAAAACAAATTTGTATAGTCATGCAAAACAAATTTTTGCACTAGCCACTTTCAAAAAAAAGCAAGAAAAAGAAAGAGGAAAAAACTGTTTCAGTCTGCAGTCTGAGTCCATCAGTTTCTCTCTCTGGAGATAGATAGCATGTTTCCTCATGAATCCTTTCAAAGGGTGATTGGTCATTGTGGAGATTCATTTTGATGAAATGTTTCCCTGATAAAGAAGCTGGTGGCTCAGTGGTCAGAGTACTAGCCCTGGAATCAGGAAGAGCTGAGGTCAAATGTGGCCTCACATACTTCCTACCTGTGTGACCCTGGGCAAGTCCCTTAACCCTCTATTTTCTCATCTCTAAATTGAGTTTAGTAACAGCACCTATCTCCCAGGTTGTCATAAGGATCAAATAAGATAATTGTAAATTAATTAGCACAGTGATTGGTACATAGTAAGCACTATATAAATGTTAGCAATTATTATAGAACATAAGAGCTGGAGCTGGTAAGATCTGAGTTCAAATACAGCTTCAGACACTTCTTAGCTGTGTGACCTTGGGCAAGTCCCTTCACCTCGGTTTCCTCAACTACAAAATGGGGATAATATCTCCCAGGGTTGTTGTGACAATCAAATGAAACAATATTTGTCAAGTGACTGGCATATAGGAAGTTCTATGTAAACGCTTCTTCCCTTCTCTGATAGAATGTAAACTCCTTGAAGGCTGGGGCTGGGCTCTTTCATTTATATTTATATTTCCAGCACCAAACACAGCACCTACCATGTAATTAGTACTTAATAAATTAATTATAAATAAATTATAATTTGAATTATAAATTAATTGATTGAAATGCCAGTCTATGATTGGCACAGATTTGAGGTAAAATTTTAGCTGTAAATAAAATTTAGAAGCCAAGGTCTGCTCCTGCTCCCCATGTACTGATCTGCCCTCCGTCTTTACTCATACTTCTCCCTGGCTCCTGATCTCTAACACCTGAGTTCCTAAAAGTTGCTTTTGCTGGCCTGGAAACCCTGTTGGGTTGGGAAACATGGATCTAGTGGATTGAGTTTTTTCAGAAGAATCCCTTTAAACCCTAGGACTCCACTCAAGGCAAAAAAGGACAGTCTCAATTACATCAGAGCCTCTTAGAGGAGAACCAGAGGTGTGCCTCAGTTTGCTCATTTGTAAAGTGGGGATAATAATCTCTGCCCTGCCTACCTGCCAGGGACACCTTGGTAAGGAAAAGAGGGTGGTTTGGGAGGCATAAAAAACAAGTTGTTGTTGTTAATTCTATGTATTGGCCCTCGGACCATCATCAGCACAGGGAGAAGGGAGGGGCAAGGAAAACTCATGGGATTGTACATGTAGAGCCAGAGATCTTAGAAATCATGGTTAGCAATTTATAGAGTGCTTTACAAATACTATTGAGTTTTATCCTAACAACATCCCTGGAAGGTAGATGCTATTATTCCCATTTTACAGATGAAGAAACTGAGGCAGGAAGAGGTTAAAATGACGTGCTCAGGATCACACATCTAGTAAGTGTGAGGTCTTCCTGACTCCAGGTCCAGTACCCTATCCACTGCACAACCCAGCTGCCTCACCTACTCACTGCCCCCCCACCTCCACTTACTCTGTCTAGATACTCGGTGTCAGTCTTGTTGGTACCTCGTTATTTACATGTTGTCTGCCCCATTACAGTGTGAGCTCCTCAAGGGCAAGTTTTTGCCTTTCTTTGTACCCCTAGTGCTTAGCACAGTGCCTGGCACACAGTAGGTACTCAATAAATGCTTGCTGACTGACTAGCCCAGAGTCCCAGAAGTCTGTACGCTTTAGACTTTGGGCAAGTGACCTCAGCTTTCTGGGTCTGTTCTCACCTCTGTAAAATGAGGGGGTCACACTAGACCTTCTCTAAGCTCCCTTCCCACTCTATGCCCTGCCCTGTGGTCCAGTCCCCAGCCTCCTAATTCCCTGTATCTGAGAAGGTTCTTCTGTGGGAGCAGGGTGGCCTCTGCTGGCCAGTTTGGGATTTACAGGGACTTGTGCTCATTCCCTCTCCCCCCACCCCCACCCCCATTCCTACCTCTTCAGCCTGGGGAAACTGAAGCACAGTGTGAAGGAGGGTCGTGCCAAAAGGGATCCAAGAGTCTTTTCTCTTATAACACATCCCCCTTTGTTCAACTCTTCCTCAGAGCTTTGCTAAATTCACCCTTCCAGGATCCCTGCCCTCTTCAGTACTGAACCCACCTCTCTCTTCCCCAGGTCCACAACCTCTTTGAACTCCTGAAAATGCAGAGGATCTTGGTGACATCGATGGGCCGAGTGGTGGGCTTCATCTCCTGGGTGGAGGTACGAGGGATGGGGAAGGGAGGAAGCAGACAGAGGTGGACAGTGATCTGAAGCAACT